ACTGGCTTGGGGAAGCCTCCATGTGAGATGTGCACACAGACAGGAAGGGCAGCTGGAGGGTTGGGAGCATGGGCTGGAACTGCGGCCAGCTTTGCAGAGGTGTGAGCGACCCTCTGGCCCCAGTACATTAGGCCAAGTGCCAAAGGAAATGCCATCTAGTGTGGTCAGCCAGGCCCAGAGCCTTTCCAGAATCTGGTTACAGCAATTTTGGTAGACCTACAGAGCCTGAGGGTCCTTGGAAACCCGAAGTCCCACCCTGCAACTTTAAGGTTGAGATTTGTGATCTGGACATGCGATGTCTAGCATAACAATTCAGAGAAGTGAAGCAACTTGTCCAACGTCAAACCAGCAATCAATGGCCAAGATACAGCTACAATGCATAGCCCATTTTGTGCCTCTAGGGCACGGAAGTGGTTAGTAATAATGATTCTCCATGTCTGAAGATTGTATTACCATTTAAAATCTATTTAGAGGCCAGGCGCGGTGGCTCACACCTGTAATCCTAGCACTTTGGGAGGCCGACGCAGGCAGATTGCCTGAGCTCAGGAGTTCGAGACCAGCCTGGGCAACATGGTGAAATCCTGTCTCTACTAAAATGCAGAAACTTAGCCTGGTATGGCAGTGTGTGCCTGTAGTCCCAGCTACTCAGGAGGCTGAGGCAGGAGAATTGCTTGAACCCAGGAGGCAGAGGTTGCAGTTAGCTGAGATAGTGCCACTGCACTCCAGCCTGGGCAACGGAGTGAGATTCTGTCTCAAATAAATAAATAAATAAATATCCATTTAGAGAGCAGTATCCAGCCAGAGAGGGCACAGAGGAGACACCATAGCTCTTACGGAAATAAGGAGGCCACTGTGCTCTGAGAGTTGAAATTCCTCTCGGAACAAAGGGTGACCTAGGATCTCCATCACCTGGCTCCAGGCCTGGAGCTACAGAAAAAAGGCTGATTATGAAGGCATTTAATAGTAGCAGTCAGCTGGTCTGCTTACATCTTATAAACTGCTCTGGATCATCAGTGCTTCCAGAATTGTTCTCTGAAATCCTGTAACCAGCTGTCTCCATCTGCAGAGAACTTGCTCACATCATGTTTATAGTAGAGACCCATCTACATTCACACCACTGTCATGAACAGCATTTCAAAGGCCTCGTCCTCTCTTCCCATACGCTGGTTAACTCTGCCTTGGCTTAAGAATTCACGGATAAGGCCAGGTATGGTGGCTCAAACCTATAGTCCCAGCAATTTGGGAGGCCAAGGCAGGTAGATCACTTGAGGTCCGGAGTTTGAGGCCAGCCTGCCCAACGTGGCTAAACCCCATCTCAACTAAAAATAAAAAAATTAGCAAGGCATAGCGGTGTGTGCCTGTAACTCCAGCTACTCAGGAGACTGAGGTACTAGAATCACTTGAACCCAGGAGGCACAGGTTGCAGTCAGCCAAGACTGCACCACTGCACTCCAGCCTGGGTGACAGAGTGAGACTGTATCTCAAAAAAAAAAAAAAGAAAAAAATCCACAGATCAACATTTTATCTTGCCATAAAGGACTCGCTGAATTATTAGGACATGTTAATGTCTCAGTTCAAAGATGCAAGCAATACCACATTTAAACCCCTTTTTAAGCTAAATCAACACCATGTTTCTAGTTAATTCTCAGTATACATTTCTTTGAAGTGCTACAGGGACAATGGGTTCTAAGATTGAGGCTTTAAGCTTTCCATGTTTTCCTTATTAAATATCAAAATGAAAGCCTGTCTGGATTGAGAAAGGGGTACAGGAGAGAAAGAGGTTGTTGGTTCCAGCATCCTACCAATGAATGCATGGAATAAGACCACTGCTCACACAGGAAACCCATTATGTGCCAAAGGTGGATGCTCAGGGACCAGCAAGGGAGACGGGCATGCAGACAACAGGCAGCCATGAGTTTGTAAAAGGCAAGATGTAAAGACCTGAAACTTCCATCATGAAATGAGGAGGGATGGATGCAGCTGTTTTGCATAGCCACCCACAACTATGCTGAACAAAAAGATTTGTGTGACCTGAGTCCAAAAGTCATAAATAGTGACAGGGGCTACAGGATGATGAGGCTCAGACTGAGTATTTCCTCCCCTCTCCCTGGCTTTGATAAACCACCATTCAGCCTGTTCCCCGCCTTTGGTATCTCTTCCTCTAATCCATTTGCACACTCCAGTGAGGTTTGCTTTCTTCCCCCAGGACTTCCGCTCTCCACTCAGCAGCTGGGAACCGCCCTCCCATGCCTAATGCATTGGACCTGATCCCAATCCAAGGCTGTGCCAATATCCCCCAACATTCTCCAACACTTCACAACTTTGTCACCGTCACTAGACTGAAATAACCATTAGCTGAACTCCTATATCATTTCCTGCTGTGGATACTAAGATGACCAAGTGAAACCCTCTGCCTCCAGAGAGATGCAGGCATGCAAACACAGGAACTACAATTTGCCTTGGAAAGAGCTACCACAAAGGAGTGGAATAGAGCTGGGCTGTGTGCGGCCTGGACTTATGCAATCATGAGAGCCCTCCTGAAGAAAAATGTTACCAAATTATGAAGGTAAATGTGTAGCCCTAAAGCTTACTCTTCACCAGCTTCCTGGTCAACCTGCTCCGTTTCACACATATGGGGTCTGCAAGGTGGTTGCCTTTGATGTCTACCACTGCCTCCTTACTTCCCATCAAAAGCATTCGATTCGATATGTTGTAACTTGAATCCCCTCTCCCTATCCAAATTCTACCAACTGAACCTGTTTGCCTCAATTTCTTCACAAATTCATTCCTGATTACAAGGGTTTCACTTCATTCTCTCTTCAGTGCCTCACCGTAGCACTTTTAGTGATCATGTACCATACGCAGCAACTCGTACACTTTCTCAGTTGTTTCAGGTTACATTTATTTTGGCAAATAAATTATAAGTTCTCAGAGGTCAGGGCTTTGTATTATGACCCAGATACTGTGGTGTCTGGTGTAATATTGATCCATTGCGGATGATTAAATCTTGCTTGAGTTGTACACGGAAGGAATGATTGAACTTGACAATTCCAGCCTTTGAAACCAATGCTCGATAGCACCAAGGGGCTTAATTTATATCATGCCTCTGGTCTTACCAGATAAGTCATTTCTGATTATGAACTGGCATCCTTCCCAAATTCACCATTTGGACCCAAATTCTCTGGAATTACATTCTTGCTCTTGTCCTTCTATATGTGCTTCCTGAGTAGTTTCAATTCCGCCCATGTTTTCAACTTGATCCTACATGTTGAGGACCCTCAAATCTATATTTCTGGCCCAGATGGTTCCCCGGAGCTTCCAGCTTACATGCTTAGCTCTATGGTTGTCTCTCCATGTCCCCAAGGAGCCTGTACTTAAATTGCACCGACCACTAAATATAGGAGGGCACTGATGGGAAAGAAAAAACTTAGGAAGAAAATGCAAACTATTTTCATGTCTATGTCCCAGTATTAAATGATAAGCTCCTTGCAGGTAGAAATGAGTCTTGTTCAACTTTATGTGCCCAGCATGTAACCCAGCCTGGAGCAAGGTAGGCATTTAGCAAGTCTGAGTGACCGCCTGAACAACAATGTATCTCAGAGACAGTTCCTATAGTGAATTGCTAAAAATAAACACGGAATTTAGGACAACCACATAAAGTCTTCTTTGGCCATATGCTCTGCCATGCTTCATTCACAAGATGTCTGTGGAGGACGTTTACCCAAACTCCCTTGTAAACTGTTCCATACATGCAGGCGTAGTTAGCAGAATTCACAGAATCTTCCGTCTTCCTCTTGGAAACTGCTTTGTTTAGGCAGAACACCGTGCTTGAATTTGGCCTCATCATCTGCCTCCCTCCCCATCTCCCCCACCGCAGCTGACCTTGGCCTTCTCAGGGTATCTGAATGTGCCTGCCGTGGAACCAGTCTGATGGCCTCTATTTTTCTTCATGAGGGAGCCACCGTTTCTGACAGCACAAATTGCAAGGTGGATGCTTTTGAAGAAAAAAACTAATGAATGAAAGAGGGGAAAAACCTCATGCTTAACCAAGATCTAGTCCTCAGTTTTATTTCACTTTATAAGCGAACACATCAATTTAAAAAGTTAAATACTAAGAAATCATAGAAATAGTTGTGTTTGGGGAGTGGACTGATGGGCAGATTGATAGGAAAATTCAAGGAAAAATATTTTATCAAAACAATGACTCATCTTATAATCAAAGGTCCTCAAATTGTAACATTTTCTTCCAAATTCACGTTAAAATGTTGACAGCTGCTACAGGAATGTGCTTCAAATTCCATTGTGATATTATAATTTTTCCAGTTTCAAGCATTCGTTTGCTTTCATTTATTTTGTTTTGCTTTTGGCCCTATGTTGGCTGAGAAAACAAGAATGTTCAAGTCGTTGTACGGGGCGGTGGGTGGGGGGGGCTGGCGATTAGAAGGGAATCGAATATTTGGCAGGAACCCCAGGAAGTAGGCCAGGAAGAGGGGTACCGGTGAAGGGGCTGCAGGTTGCTTTCCTCTGAGCGGCCAAGGAGCGCCCGGGGGTTTGGAAACCGGGGACCTTGGTCTGCAGGCGCGGGGCTGGCGGGTGGGATCCGAGCACGGGGTCGCGAAGGGGAAGAGCTGAGGCCCCTGCTCTGAGGCAGGTGGGAGGGTGTCTGGGTGAGGGGTGAGCGCGGGGTCGGGGAGCAGCGGCAGGAGACTGGGCGACAGCCCGGGGCGCGGGTGGAGACTGACAGCGGCGTGGGCGACGACAGCGGCAGCTCCGGGGCTCCCAGCGTGGAGTCACGCGCCAGCGCGCGGAGGGCGTGGGGCGAGCGGAGGGGCGACGGGGAGTGGGACGCGTGGAGGGGCGCACGGAGGGACGTGGGACGCGCGGTCCTTCCTGGCGGGGTCAGAGAGGCCTCGGGTCGCAGAGCACCCACTGTGCGCCCCAGACGAGGCCGCCGCCTTCCCCGGGGCCCCCACCTGCACAGCGGGCGGCAGATCCAGGGCCCCAGAGGGAGGCGAGAGAAGGCACAGGTAACGAAGCATAAAAAAATCCAAATGAAACTCAGTGACGTTTGAAGCTGGGAAAGCCCCGAGTGGAGGACAAAGGGGCCTCTCCCCGCCACCCCACAGGCTAGGCCTCCCCTTCTCCGCCAAGAGCCCCCGTTTCCAGACCAACCCACCATCACCGTTACTTACCCCAGCCACTTCCCAAACTCGCAGACTCTTTCAACTCTATGTACAGGAATATTTAAAACATTTTGCAAGACAAGAGGGGAGAGAAGGGGCCCTAGGTGGCCTGAGATAGACGCTGTGTCCGGGCCCCTTCTGTGTCCCCCCCCCCCCGCCATTCACTGGCTGGTCTTTAATTCATCAAGATGAACTCTCAGGGGTAAAAGGATCAAAGAATTGCTGCCTTTCTATATTATTCCTACTGAGTTCGGGGCCAGAAAGCGGGTGGATGAGGCCAGGCTCCAGGAGAAGCGGGCTGATCTGCGTGGCTGCTCTGGCCCGGTTCCTGGGAACCCTGCAGAGCGCACACAAGACGCCCTCTCTCTGAGACGGTTCATACAAGATGCCATCTCCGCGGGCCGGTTCCATCCTCTAATGAACAGTCCTCTTGTGTATCTGAGGCTCCGTTAAGAGGTGAATGAGCAGCGCCCCCTTCCTTATTCCCTGCTATGTAGTCAAAGTCCTGGCAAAATGACTTGTAGTTGCTTGACCATTTAAAAACAAAGATCTAACGGCCAACAGCCTCTTTTCTGGGCCTCGTCCTCTATCTATACATTCCAGGCTAGAGTAGAACAGGCAGCGTTCTGAGCCACCTCACAGACGCAGCCGCACCGCTACCGGTTGTACTCTTTTGTATAAGGCGCACTCTTCATTTTGGATGTGTAAATACGAAAACCACCAACAGGGGATGACTCTCACACGGGACCCACGCGTCGCTGACTATTCATGTGGCATGTTCGTCCGAGGCTCCTCGTTCTCCATCCCGCAGGGCTGGCTGCTCTATCAGGGGTAGGTGATTCACCCTAGTTTTGCTGCCAGATAAGAATGGGACCCAGCCCCCTCCTAGCCTGGGTGGCCCTTGTCTGAAGCTACCCGTCCTCGCCTGTTCCACACTGTGCCCTGTCGTCACAGTGTCTGAGCCTCTGGCTCCTTTCCCCTTTGGTGAACTGGCTTCACCCCTGAGATGCTGCTCCAGGGCTTCTTGTGCCCCGACTCTCCTATTCCGTGTCTTCAGCTACTTCTTGGACATGCCGCATGACTCTGCTGAGCCCCCAGGCTCTTCTGTAGACTTGAGGGAGTCCCCCTCAGTGCAGCCAGTGTGAGTTGCCCCCCCTAATCTCTCGAGGGAACCAGAGACCTTTCTTTAAACAGCGTGAGCACAGATGTCAAGGACCTCAGGCACTGAGGACAAATCTCCTGGAGAACCACAATCAGCCGCTTCAGGTATTGGGTTTCCTTTGGGAAATTTGAAAGTCAGGTTGGTCATGACGTGGCAGGAATCTTTAACACTGAAGTGCTTAACTGGTACCCTTATCCTTTGCAGTCAGTGAGCACATCTGTCTGGTGCCAGAGACTGCTGTGGGGCCCATTCTCAAATGGCCAGAAACAGTGGGAATGTCATATTATGCACGTTCCAAATCTCTGTCACATAGAGTTCTTTTGGGCCAGCGTATGATTTTGCACTTAAGTCATATCTCTGCCTACATGTGATAGAAAACCTAAGACAGAGAGCTGAGTGGATATTCCTTAAGTGGACTACTAATTTTTTAACTTGTGCTCTTGATTCTCTTTCTCAAAGAGAAAAATAGTCCACAGTATTCATAGGTCAAATAGACAGATGTGGGCATGCCTGCATAGTTTTCCTTTTAGATACTAGTAGAATGCCTGTTGATGGTATCAGGGTTCTCTGTTGGGATATTCACTACATTAAATAGAAGGCAATCACTTTCATTTCTATGAAGCTAACATGTCAGCTCCTTAATAAATAGATACAAGGCTCCAGGCAACACTCCTGAGTTCATGCTTCTGCCCCGCCCCACAGCACACAGCACAGCAGGATCACACCCCGCGCTCCCGCGGGAAAGCAGTGAGGACAGCAGGTTCGTCCTGAAGTAAGAAAGGGAAGGTTGAGAGCCTGGGGGCCAGGATGGTGTGAGGTTCAGTGAGAGTTGTAGCTTATGGAAATGTTGACCATTTCAAACTGGAAAGAAGAAAAGGACAAGTTCAACATCAACCTCCTGTTTATTTAGAGCTTTAGAAACATTTGAAAGGAACATGCTTAAACTCCCACAGGTCCTCTTAGAAATGCGGATTCAAGCTGAAGATGCCAAAGAAATTGGCTTGTGGCTGCGATGGTTCACCTAACAGAAAGGTCACCACCCTTGGGCTCTGGAAGTTGGGGATGATAATTTTTCCGGTTTGGCCTGAATCTGACTGTTTTTGGAGTTAGGTATGCCTCGTGCCTGTTTCCACATGCGCCTATAAAGCTACAATCTGTTTTCTTCTGCCACAAAATCTAGCATGCCAGTGTGTGGACAACTGAGAATTTCTGCAAGGTAGAGAGGAAGAAGGACACAGTATGAAAAGGAAAGGGTTCCTATTTCAAAATCCCTTTATGAAGCCTCTCAGTGAAGGCACAAGGGTCTCACTGTGTGCAGCTGAATTTCAACAGCCTCATGTGCTCTGCGTCTGTTTTCTCTTTCTCCTCCTTCCTTTGGAGTTGCATCACGGGACCGTTCCTGGTTCCCTTTCTAGCTCATGCTTCCTGCGAAAGCCCTCAGAAAGTATTCATTTCAGATCACCCTGAATAATTTGCTGAGGGTCAATCCCAAGTGTGGACACAGCCTGCTAGCATGTGATCTTTAATGTGATGAATTATGTCATTACTAGTTGCCAGTCCTTCTGGTCACATCCATCTGCTGAACTGGCTCCCTGCTCTCCTGGTTCAACAAGTCAGGGAGTAAGGCAATTCACGCAGACAGCGGGTGATGACTCAGGAGGAGTGGTGGCCAGGGGGTGTGGTGACCTGGGCCCAGCCCTAATTCTGCCCTAACTAGGCAGCTCTAAAGAGGTCTTTTCCGTGTCTTCTCCAGAAAATGGAAAAAGTTAAATGAGATGATCTCTCATTGCAAGCTTGTGATTCTATCCTGTTTTCTCTCCTGCTGGAATTATGCTCTGCGGCAGGTGAGGAATGAGCCGTGTTACCTCTCATAGCTTACATTTTTTGGCACTTTCTGTTCCGTACAACTCAAACTCCCTGGCAGAGCAGAGATCTTTTAATGTTTACTTGCCAAAGGCAATCAAACCATGAAGCCATCACTTAAGTCAGTTGACTTACTCTGTGGCATAGGCATGGGTCAAAATGGAAAGTAACCTTGAATCCCTTTGAAAATGCTCTTCTCAATTTAAAATGATGAAGGCTATATATTAAAATAGCAGGCTGGAATTTATCTTTCGTGTGAAGTAAAGGACATCTTTGCTTGCTAATTATTCTTTGACAGGTTACTGACAATGTGGACAGTACATATAAGCAGAGGATTCTACATCAAACATTTGCTCCTGTTGGACACCATTAAGGAGGTAAATAACTCCTGTCAGTAGATTGTCCTGACTTACAGACTTTTGAAACACATTATTTCAGCCTATGAATTATTTCCTCCAGGACTGAAATGTAAGTATACACAGCTAAGGTAACAGAGAACCACGTTCTCTGAGGCCCTAGGACTTGTAATTCTAGTGAGAAAATTAAGCTTGTTCTTCCTTGAAGAGGCAGAAACACTGGTGCCTCCCTTCATCCTCTCAAGTCCCAGACTAAGCTGGGTGCAGCCCTGGCTGCCCTGGCTCTGTTTGTTCCCTGTCCCTGCCCTCTCCAGCCAGTCCTCCTCCCTGCTGCAACCTGACCATGTCACTGTCCTTTGGGGTCAAGTTCAAATCTCCAAGATTTGGAAGCAAGACCCTTCCTTGCCTGGCTTTGCATCCTCCTCTCACTGCTCCTTTGCCTTCCCTCCATGCAGCATGCTTCTGAACCCTGAGCTGTGTCCTCTGGGGCACCCCCAGTGGCCTGTGCACAGCTACCTCTTGGTGCCCCCATACCCACACTGCAAGGATGGTTCAGCCTCCCATTTGCCTCTAGCCTACCAACTCCTGGAGGTGGGGCCATGAGTTTTCTGATTGTGCAATGCAGGGCCTCACTTCACTTCTGGTTCCAAAAAGCCTGGTGAGTGCTTAGTGAACAAATCTGATGAGTAAAAAATGATGCTTCAGGTCCACTCATTAACATTTGTAGGAAAGAAAGTCTCACTGCGTGGTGGTTCCCAGCCCTCCTGGCCAGTGAAAGGCACAATGGAAGGTATGTTAGCATCAGCCCTGAACAGGCAGCATCAGGGGTCGCAGCACAATGCACAGCCCATGCGATGAATTTCCCACATTAGCTGAAAGCCCACAAACACCTCCAAAACAGAAAACCCCAAAGCCCAGGCTTGACTGCCTTTCCTTGTATGATAAATTCGCTCTGTGCAATGTGATGGAATATGCTGGTGGAACACGCAGAGTGCTTGGCAGGCAGGCCTTCCTCCGGGAGGCTCTTCTCTGGGACCACGGGGCATCCATCACCACAGCCCCAAAGAGGAGGATTTCCACATCAACATTTCTGAGACTAAGACTTGGCAAGGCAGGTCGTTCAGGAGAGGTGAATTGGTGTTGATCCCCTGTGAGCTCTCTGTTTCAAGAACACTGCATTCTGGCCGGCAAGGAGAGAGCTCCGCCCTAGGTCTGCCCTCGCTGTCTGGAGTCTTGTCCTCCCGACTGGGCTGCGTTCATCTTTGTACAAAGAAAATGTCCAAAGTAGAAGCTGATCTGCTGAAGGGTGGGGTGTGGTAACTTTCTGAGTATTTCACAAATGCGTTCTCTTCTCTGCAGGAGAAAACCAGAATTCAGCCCCCTCCTGGGTCACCCATGTTCTGGAAGCCTGGCATTCACCCTGCTTAATTCACTTCATGGACACATCCTCAGAGTACACAGCTTCATAGGCCAATCATAACATCCATGTCCATAATTTCCAACATAGACTTATGCCATGGGCCATGTACCCAGGCAATTAGGATCTCTGCAGGATTCTGCTGCATGGTTGAACATCTCTGGCACCAAATTCCCTTTTTCTCTCTCAGTCACTTGGCAGAGGCTCAGCCTGCCCTACAAGCCTCCTCTTCCCATGCCTTCCTCTTTCTAGGATGCCCCTGTGCTCTGCCCACTCAGTTTCTTCCCCTGGAGTTCTCTCACTGGTCACCTCCACCCCTTCCCCATTTTTGTTGGGCTTTACCATGTGAACTCTAATTGCTAATTGCTGGTCTTTCTGCTCAACTCTGCCTTTCCTAACACCACCTTGGGAACTGCTACTAGATTAATCTTTCTAAGGTGTTTTCTTCATTTAGCATTTTGCATTTTTCTAATTAAAAAAGAAAAAAGACCAGGCGTGGTGGCTCATGCCTGTAATCCCAACACCTTGGGAGGCCAAGGCAGACGGATCACAAGGTCAGGAGTTTGAGACCAGCTTGGCCAACATGGTGAAACTCCATCTCTACTAAAAATACAAAAATTACCTGGGTGTGGTGGCATGTGCTTTTAGTCCCAGCTACTTGGCAGGCTGAGGCAGGAGAATTGCTTGAACCCTGGAGGGGAGGTTGCAGTGAGCCGAGATTGTGCCACTGCACTCCAACCTGAGTGACAGAGCAAGACTCGGTCTCAAAAAAAACAAAAACACAAACACAAAAATGGCACTTCCTAGAAGCTAGCGTCTGAACAGCTTAAAATGAAGATGCTGATAGCTACATCCTCCCTGCAGCCCTCCCTCCCACCTTTCTCCATCACAGTCTTCATTCAGGCCAAGCTGCCCTCTGCAGAGTCTCGGGAAATACGGGCTCTGTCCCCAGGCCCTGGCCTGGGCTGTGCTCCCCGCCCTCCCTCCAGACAAATGGCATTATTCTAGAAAGCCCATTCTGCCTCTCACATCCTTTATATCCCTTCCCTGGGCCACTCATTTCCGCTGCTCTCTTGCTCCCCGGCCATTTCTATTTCCTGTCTGGGTCTTCTGGACTCTGGGAGGACAAGACAGACTGCAGCCTCCGTGAGAGAGTGTGCGGCTGAGCAGCAAGGTAGCAGCTCACACACCCGCTCTGCCAGCTCCTGCTCCTGAGGCAGAGAGGGGGGCTCCATCCTGTCTCAACTGCTCAGTTTGTTCTGAGTTGAAATGACCCCGTGTATCATTCCCTCACCACTTCCGTGGATCCATTTATTTTAACTTTGTCTTATGCTAATGATGTCTGGTCTCCACAAGCCAGTGTCTTCATAATAAACCACCTCACGTTCTTTCAGAAAGTAGGAAGCGTAGACATATGTCACACTCCTGCCATCTTAAATAAATTTTTTTAATAACTTCAGCAAAATTTATCAGTGGTTAAGCAAGGAATATCAAAGAACCTGGAAGCAAAAAAAAAAAAAAAAAAAAAAAAAAAAAAAAAAAAAAAAAAAAAAAAAAAAAAAAAAAAAAAAAAAAAAAAAAAAAAAAAGTCCTCTCATTAAGTGTCTTAAAACTCTAGGTGAATAGGAAAAGTGACTTTTTCACACTGACCGCATAGTCACGGACTACAAGCTTGAAGCAAATCAGTCAATGGAGTTATTTTAAGAACGGGTGGTGGCTTTCTCAAACGTTTGGAGTTGCTTTGGTAAAGTTTAAGGTAACAGCGCCATCATTAATTATGGTGTGGTGAAATATAAGATATCTAAAAATTTTAAAGGAGAGATGATTGAAATTTTTTATGTCCTCCAGATATGACCACTTATTAAGGTACAATTTATTGATCACTTATAGATCCTTAACTTTCATGCCTACTCTCTAACAACCTCCAAAAATGATAGGTACAATTATCTTCATCCTGCAAAAAGGAAGTAGACCCCGGGAGAGCTTAAGCAACTTCTCTCCTGTAGACTGCAAGTCTGTGGTGTGGGAGGGGGAATTAGATAAGGTTTTATGGACTAGAAGTCCTAGGTTCATCCCAGTACTCTGCAAAGCCACCCCTAATTTCTAAACCTAGTAATTTCTGTGTCTGCTTAGAATTTGGAGGAATGCCTTCATGATCACATTAATAAGACCATTATTTCACTTAGTGCAAAGCAGCGGTAGGCAGTGCAATTGAGCGTTGCATACACACTTGTCCTTTGCTGTTCTCATGTCTGAAGGGAGAAGCTGAGGCTCAGGGAGGTGAAGGAAACAGCCAGCTTAGAGTCGTTCTAGACTTCAGCCTAGATGAGCCTTTAAACTAGGTGTCCTTGCTCTCTAGAGTATGATTTCAAATTTTAAACAGGTGGTGTTAAAAAACAAAACAAAACTCATCATAGCCCGCTAACCTTATATTTTGGAGGAAGTTTGAATCAGTTCTGTAGACTGGCAGAGGGGAAAGACACATGAACCTAGAAGGGGCATTTACTGAGATGCTCCTGGAACCCGACATGTTATGGAGACGTGGAGACATGGCCATCTGCTACTGTGGTCTGGAGGTGACGTAGTGAGTTTTCCAAATCAGGTCATAAAGAGGAAAGAAAACATTGACGATCCGGTGTCCTAGGCTCATTCCTGACTTCTGACATCACTGTTCAGTCCACACTCATAGTGGTGATGTTTTTCTTGAATTTTGTATTTAGAGATGACAATGCATCTGAACACAATCTGTAAACTGTAAGGTAATATATAAATCTAACCTGTTTGCAGCATGATAAACACAGCAAGCAAATAAACTGCATTAAACCTAATTTTAATTGATTCAGTGGAAAACAGCAAAGTTGATTCCAAAGTCAAAGACCTAAGGGAAGATAAATCCAAACTCTATAAAACCTTGCAATGGTCTGACTATCACGGGCACTCAATGAGATGGGTCACTGACACGCACCAGAGCCACAATGTTGTGCAGACCTGCCTTTCCCAGAGTATATTTCTTAGGCTATTAATAGGCATTTGATGAAAAAAAGGATTCTTTGGGCAAATACAGTTTGGAGACAAGGAGTTCATCAAGCTGATAGGCTTTGCCATTGCTGGGATTCTCAGCATCTGTTATCTCAACATCAACTGTCATCTCTGGAGCAGGGTGGATGCAGCAAATGGATTTGCGTTGATACAAAGGCGTCAAGGATGTTGTGAAATATATGATATATTAATTAGCATTCAGAAACCCAGCAGTTTCTGAACTGGGAAACACATGGGGCCAGGAGCGTTCTGGTTATGGGACTGTGGACCTGCAGATGGGAGGCTCCCCGGGTTCTCAGTGCCATGCAGGTTCTCAGTGCTGTGCTGCTTCCTCAGCACCCAGCTGCTCATGTCACTCCAAGACTCCACACCTTCCACCACCCAGAACATGGGAAAAAACCAATCTCAGCCCCTTGCTCCATGCAGGGTCGTTATGAACATCACATGAAATAAGGAATAAGAAAACCTCCCAAATGATGTATACATTTTTGGAAAACTTTTATCCTAAAGCTAAATTATTGTTTTTTTCTTTCTTT